ACTACCCACTCATTATCAGTTATTGTTTACCAGGAATATTTAATTTCAAGATCAGTAAACAGTATCTAATCTATAAATTATGTTCATTGAGAAACAAATGACATGAAGTGAAATAAATTAGAAAAATATCATTCATTCATTCATTCATTGAAATCAGCTATTGAATTCATTGATGATCTAAGTCACGTTTAATTACATCTGGCAACCTAGAGCAGTGATTACCACACGGGGCAGTCCAAGCTTGCCTGCAGTGGGAAGTGAAGTCCCCCCCACAAGCCATTTTTCCATTGCACTTCCTCATACATCAAAAGGCTTTTTTAAAAACCCAAACCTCCTGTCTTTGCAGCATTCACCAGTATGAAACAAGCAAGCAAAGGGAGCCGTACTTCCTTGTAGCTCTTTTTCATGAATGCTCCAAGGAGGGGAACTGGAATTAGAGCCAATGTGTGATGAGGAGAGTGGTGTCTGAGGTTCCCTGTTTTGGAGTTTGTTCAAGAAAAAGAGCCAGCACTAGGGAAAGCCTTGTGCTTGATTCAGGGACCTTTGCTCCTTCCACTTGTTCTACTCATGACAGTTTGTGCTGTGAGAAAGGGAGGTTAGAAAAAGGTCAGCATACCGTATGTGGGGGCACATTGTGGGAATGACTGAGCTGTGGAGTGTGGTGCTCTGTGTCCCGCTGCGGGCAAATCTGGACTCCTAGTTAGATTTGTTTACGGATGGGCTGTAGACCTAACAAATAAGAGGATGCTGCCACTCCTGCCTTCCAGCTTCCCAAGGATAAGTTTAATGACAAAAGGAACAAAAATTATTCACTTGATCTGCTTTTTCTTAAACTAGATTGAATGCACCCCAGTGTTTTAAACACTCACAATGCTGTTTCACACAAAACTATGTAAAATATTTACTCCACAGCCAGGGAAGAAGAATTATGGGTTATGAAACTATATGTTGAGTTTGTCTTCCTTTTGTGAAAGCTTTCAATAACATCTGAAGATCTCTCTCATGTAGTGTGGGTGGTACTCAGAGTTGCAGAATGATATTCTTTATTATGCTCAGCCCAGAAAAAGTGGCTGCTGCTAGAAGCCCCACCCCCCATCTCCCAACGCCCGCACAACCCAGCTGAAAGTAGATTCTCTGTAGAAGTGGGATAACAATCCTTAAAGGGGTCACTTCACCATAATATTTTGTTGTTGTTTAATTGTTAAGTCGTGTCTGACCAGAGCATGCCAGGCCCTCCTATCTTCCACTGCCTCCTGGAGTTGGATCAAATTCACGTTGGTCACTTCAATGACACTGCCCAACCATCTCATCCTGTGTCGTCCCCTTTTCCTCTTGCCTTCACACTTTCCCAACATCAGGGGTTTTTCCAGGGAGTCCTCTTCTCATGAGATGGCCGAAGTATTGGAGCCTTAGCTTCAGGATCTGTCCTTCCAGTGAGCACTCAGGGTTGATTTCTTTCAAAATGGATAGGTTTGTTCTCTTTGCAGTCCAGGAGATTCTCAAGATCCTCCTCCAGCACC